TCCCTCCAGTTTCTCCGGTGCGCTCGTCGTCGTTGGGTTCCTCGCCTCCTCGGCAGCCGCATCCAAGAAATGTTTATTGAAGTTATGAACAGTTGCTTTTACCTCCGCAGCAGCCAATGACCGCCCCGGTAGGTTGTTGACACCCTATCGCAAAGCTCGCGTATATCCTCGTCGAAGATCACTTCACCCTTTACAGCTCGCTTCATACTCAAATAATGACCGAATGCCTGTATTTCGTTCAGTGCTCCTTTATCACGGATATACTTCGTGGGGTCCTTGAAAAACTCCTCCAGCAAGACATCCCGATTGGTGTCCACAACGCCCCTGCCGTCCGGTTCCCTCGTAAGAAAGTCGTTCAGCCTCATTTCATTGACGTGAACTCTTCCTTTGAACAGTACCTCCTCGATATCAGTGCAAATGGTAAATTTCATTTCTTGCATTCCTCTTAGCCTTTCCGCTGCCTCCCGCCTCGCTTCTGTCAGCACCTGCGTGAGTACTCCGTTTGGTGTTCTCCTTGCAAGAGGGGTGATCGTATACTTTTCTTTCATATTCCCTACGTTGCCCGAGAAAGAGCGCACCTTCGTGAAGAGGCTTAGTAATGGCCTACAGCGCTTGGTGCGCAGTTAAGTTAAGGATTTCTTCAAGAGGCCGCTGGTCTTGTACGTAATCATCCGGATCCTGAACAAACATCTCCATCGTCACATTGTAGTCTTTCATCAACGGCCGCCCTGCCGCCAACATAATTCCAAAGGAAATCACTCAGCCTCATGTTGGTGCTGCTCATGGTCCACTGCGGCCACACTTTACTCCCCGCCACATGTCGAGCTGCAGCGTCGGAAACATCACAAGAGCCACGGCGAGGTGCCATCACAACACCCGTGCGGTGAGGCATCCCACTCGCACCGCCCAACTGCGGCCAGCAGGCACCGCTGGCTCCAAAGGGCAGTCGCGGCTGTTTCGTCCCGCTGTCCCAATGACGTTGGGCGTGGCACTCGCACGGTTCGGTGGTCGGTGCGCCATGCAGCCGCACTGCAACGCCTGTCGGTGAAGCAGTCAAGGCCCACCGCTCCCGCAGCAACGCAACGTGCATTCGGCCACAACACCGCCACATTATCGCCCTTTTTCATTTTGTTTTATTCACGTTGTCTGTTTGTCTGTTTGCCCCATCACTCACACAAAAAATAAGTGCACACCCTCACAAAAGGGAAGGAACAAAGAGAAAAGGAAAACACGATCCCACCGTCCCGCCGCGGGCCAACACTCTCCTCCACCCACCACCATTGCCGCACAGGAGACCGCAGTCACATCGCAGAGTCAACACCACAATGTGCACCACACCACCGTGCAGTGAACGATGGGCGAGACGCAGCCATGCATCGCCCCGCTCCATTTTCCCACCCCTCAAGCGTTGCGTACCCGCACAAAGTAGCAAACACAATCAGAGCGCACACAAACCCAATCATTCCCCTCACTCGCTGAAGCACATTGTTTGCATGGAGTGACAACATCTAAGGACACACCAGCAGTAGCAGACTGCATGGAATTTCCCTGCCAACCCTGAGAAAGAGACACAAAAACTCTGCGGGGCCAAAGTGGCAGCCTCTCGGTGTTGCCCGCAGTCCACATGGCAGGAAGAATTCAACGCACACATAGCTCCGGACACCTCGCTGTTTGAGTGCACATCAACTGAACATGTGAAAAAAATACCTGCGCGCAAGATGGCATTTAAACACGTGAAAAGTCGGCCTGCTTTCTCCGATGGCGTTAGAGAGCAATCCCACACAATCCAATCAAAGTGGCACGCCGGACAGAATGGCGTCCGTCAATCAATAAAAAAATGCGACACTGAAAGGGAGCAGAGAAGAGTTGGCGCATGCGATTGCCAGCGACAACTGAGGTGCCGAGGAACACGCTTGTGTGTAACTGGCCGTCAGGCAGAGAGGGTAAATAAAACAAAAGCGCAGCAAACCCTCTCGTTCAATGTCTTCTGACCACAACACCAGAATCAAAATATCATGGACGATAAGAGCGGCAACGCCTTCTCCAAAACATCTTGTCAAGAAGCCGCAGGACCTCAGGAAGGGAAGAAGGCAACGGCGGCGGCCACAGCGGGGGAGACAATAAAACGGCTGGCAGGCACCTTCACGTCGACGCGCACAACACATCCGAGTGGGCCGGGAGCACAGATCAAACCGCTCGGAAACACACGCATCAAATCCGCAAAACAAAGTCGCGTTGAATCGACAGGAACTCCCCGCCCAAAACAAATTTAAAAAGTGGCGTTTTTCAAGGAGAAATCCGCCTTTCCGACGACGGCACGGACGCCTCGCAGAAACTTCTTGCAAATCTCCCTTCGCAGGTCCGCAGGAAAACGCAGCGGAATAAAAAGAGAGCGCAACGACGCAAAAAAATAATCCTCCTAACCGACCAGGTGGCAGGCCGCCCTCGCGCAAGTGGACAAAACACAACTTCACTCCGATCTTGTCGTGGTGGTCGTCTCGCAACATTTTCTTCCTTCTCGTCGCAGTGCACATCCCCCTCCCACAAATCATTTGTTCGAGCCACGTTCCTGCGGCCAAACATCACGCTGCCGGATCCCGCAGCACAGTCCTCGGCACAGAAGTGAGGGGAGGAAGAGGGACCGCAGAAGGTGCGAGCAAATCCGAATTCGGTGGCGGTCGCTGCAGTGAAGATTGACGTCCCACGCGGTGTCCCTTTTCTGGGTCCGGCCCCCACCGTGCCATGCTCTCAGCGTGCGGTGCGCCGGCCGCTCCGAACATCCACACGTGCTTGCGTCTCGCCGTCGCTCCCAGCCCCGTTCGTTGGCTGCATCAGGGATGTCGCCATCCAGAGAGGGGCATAAGGACGTTGCATCCAACAAAACCTTCAGAGGCACCCGCTGGGCCAACGACAACCATCACTGCGGGATGTGTGGCCCTTTCGCCGCTCACCTCAAATCGCACTTCTACGCCTCCTCGAGCAGCAGCAGAATAAATACACCGGTCCACTAGGGGCCGTCACCAGCCATTGCATGAAGACCACTGTGCCCCAGTGCTATGAAACCCGAATTGCATTGACGGGCCACTTCGGAAAACCCTGTCACATCCTCCCCCATTATGCGGAAACACATCCGTCGTGCATGTGTCCACCGCAGCCAAATGAATCCGGTCCAAATACCATCCAAATCGAACTCCCCTTTCCTCGAGCCATTCCTTTACTCCATACGCCCTGACCCTCATCCGCACGTGCCCACTCACACAAACCGCAAAAGAATGGTGGTGGCCGCCCAACGCTCCGGAAAAACATGTCCAGCACGAACGCGCACAACAAATGACACGCGCAAACGCAAGGCACAACGGCGGAGAAGCGCACACCGAAAGGATGCGGTCCTCCACAGCAGTCGCAGGAAGAGTGACTCACGGTGCGCGCTCCCTCTCCTCCTTCCCTTCATGCCCACGGAGGAAGCAGCAGCCACCCGCAACCGCCAGCACACGCTACAAAAAAAGCATCCAAATCCACTGCAATGTGCATCCTGTGCATGTTGTGGTTGTGTGTGCCTGCAGCAACACAAAGCAAAGAAGTAAAAACAGGAGCAGAGCAATTGAGGAGACGCAGAAAAAAAAATGTACAGCAGAGGTGCATGGCAGAAATAAAGAGAAAAAGACTGCTCAAGCTCATGATATTGCACTGCAGCCCAAGCAGCGGCAATTCATTAAAAAATTAAATGAGAATAAATAAATAAAAAATCATCCTCACCCTTCCACAACTCACACTTTGGAAAGAATTTTAAAAAAAGAAAATGAAAAATGTCGTCCTTTATTACGGCCACACCCAAATGATAAAAAAGTAAAAAAAAAGAAAAAAAAATAAACTCGCAGAAAAAGCACCTAACTACCATGCTGCTCCAGAAATTATCTGCATATTTTGTCCGAAAATAAATTTTAAAAGATATTTAAATGTCTTTCAACCGTCCGACCCTCCATGTGTCCGCACATCGTTTATATTTCATGGGGTCATCTGCGTGTTGCTGCTCCCATCAGCCCTCTCATCGGCGCGTGAGTGCGGCCCGCAGAGCACAGTCACTCGTGTGCGTGGGGACTGAGAGAAGCACGCAGACATGGCGGCAGTCGCGTCACTCCATCGGGAGAGTGAGCGCAGCAAAAGAAAAAGAAATCATCGGAGGGGAGAGAAATGCTCACGAGGCCGACACCGAAGGGTGCGCCCCGCATGAAATAAACACGCAAAGCAAAACAAATCCTTAAAGAAAAACACGGCGGCAGGGTGTGGCTGTGTGTGTGGCGCTGCGGGTGTCTGCCCGCCCTCGCCGCAAGAAAACAAAACAAGAGGGAAGAAATGTGTGCTCCGCCCCACAGGCCCTCGTCGCACGCCCACACGTCACGGCTCCCTCAGCGCGCCGTTCGTCGCGGCCCCTCCTCATGCGTGCAGCAGGCGAGGCGCACAGGGCCGTCGTCATGAGCGTGTCGGTGGGTGTGCGAGTGGAGCAGTTGGGCGGGAAACACACGGCACCCCTCACAGGAAGAGTGCATCAACAAATAATTAAAAGAGGGAAGAGTAGAAAAGAAAAAACGTCCATAGTGATTGCCCCAAAAGCAAAAAAAAAAATTAATCAATTAACGAAAGAAAAAAGAAATGAAGAGAAAAATCACAAAAACAGAAAAAACAAAAAAAAACATTTAAAATAATTTAAAGCAAACAGCAAAGAAAAATTAAAAACACTTAAAACAATCATAAGAGGACGAAAACAGAAACAGTTACGGTGCTCCGCCCATGCAGCCAGGCAGGACGGCAGCGGTGCGTGTCGTGCAAAAGAGAGCACCAACGGGCCTGCATGGGTGTGCATGCATATATACAATGGGCACATTATGTGTGTGCCTCGTGGGGTGAGGTGAGGACGAGAGTCCATGCAAGGGGACACACACACAGAGAGTGAGAAGGACGAGTGTGTGTGTGGGCGGTGCACGGCTCTCTCTCCCTCACTCTCACGCGGTCACCACCGCAGCCGCAGCCGCACACGCAACAACAAGAAGAAGCAAAAGAGGGGAGGTGGAGTGGGATGCATCCGTGTTTTGACTGTAGTTCTTCTCATTTGCTGAATTTGTCTTTGGCTGTTGAGTTTTTATCCCATGCGTTGTTTTGTTGGATACTTCCGAGAGTGCTCCTCCACTGCTTTGGGACTCTGTAATTTGGTCCCCTGATGATTTTTTTGTCTCGTTCGTTTGTGAATGGTCATTTTTCTGTTGTTCTTGCAAAGAGTCTTGAAGTTCGTCTCCCGCGGCGTCGTGGCCAAGACTGTGACCCCCTGCTGAGGCAGAATTGTTTCGTTGCTTTTCAGTGTTGGATGACACCGTTGGCTGTCCTTCGGGCGAAGAGGTGCCCTGACTCCCTGTTTCTTTTTGTGCCAAAACTTCCTCTGGGGATGCAATCCGCTCATCGGATGAAACACTGACCGGGGCTGTTTTTTCACTACCACCTTGACTTGAGGAAGTAACGACAGAGCGAGAGTCCGGAGGTTTACTTCCACCACCAACAGAATGGCCAGCACCGGGAACAGCAGGAACAAGACCGGAAAAAGCAGGATCGGGACCAGCAGGACCATGTCCAGGAATAGCAGGACCAAGACCGGGACCAGCACCGTGACCGGAAAAAGCAGCAGCAGCACCGGGACCAGGAATGACAGCACCGGGATCAGCAGGACCATGAACAGCAGAACCAGGACCAGGAATGACAGGACTGGGACCAGGGCCAGGAATAGCAGCATCACGACCGGAAAAAGCAGGGCCGTTACCGGGAACAGGAGCACCAGGAACAGCAACACCAGGAATAGCACCAGGACCACGAACAGGAATAGCAGGACCATGACCATGGCCGGCAGGACCAAGACCGGGATCAGCAGGACCATGACCGGGAATAGCACCAGGAACATGATCGGGACCAGCAGGACCACGACCAGGAATAGCAGCACCAACACCGGAAACAGCAGGACTGGGAAAAGAAGCTCCAAGACCATGACCAGCAGCACGAAGACCGGGACCAGAAGGACCAGGACTGGGAACAGCAACACCAGGAATAGGAGCATCAGGACCACGAACAGAACCAGGGACAGGAATAGCAGGACCAGGAACAGGGCCAGGAGCAGGAATAGCAGCGGCAGGGCCGGAAAAAGCAGGACTAAGACCCGCGACTCCACTTAAAGGTGAATTAGTAACTCCTGGAGAAGGAACTTTTCCTTCACGAGCTTCGGCTTGTATAGCAGAGATAAACGATGCTGACAGCAAAAGCGGTGTGGATAATTTTTTAATGGATCCGTTTGACAAAAACGACGTATTCCCTCCAAGCCCTCCCGACGCCATGTAGCCGCCCAGTGAATTGTTGTCAGGGTTCCTCGCATAAACCCCGCCGGCACCGCAGCACAGCACGCAGAGGGCACACACCAGCAGCACACGGCCAGTCATCATCATCATCACGGCTGCACACACAGTCTAGGGAGGGACACAGAGAGGAGGATGAGAAGAACACACACATCAGCAGCATGGAAAAGGAGGAGCAGCGTTTGCATGAGGGTTGCTGTCATGAGCATGGGGGACGCGTGCACGCAGGAAGAACAGGCAACAATGAAACACCGGACAGCACGGCACACAGCTCCACGGCATGTAAAACCCACCCGCAGCTGCCCCAAAATGGAAGGGAAAGAGGGCGCAACAGTGCGGCAAGAACACAGTGATGCCGGTGCAGAAAAGGGATCCCAAAACGGCGTGAAAAAGAAACAAAAAACAGTCTTCCCCCACAGCGGCCACATCCAACAACGCAAGTAATAATAACAGAAACAAACACCACACACGGCAACTCACAGCGGCAGTGAGTTCCCTGTCACCAATCTTCATGGCTGCACGCTACCGCACTCCTCGTGAGTCCATCGCTCCGCTGCCCTCCTCCTTCCCGCGGCTCCCCCGCACGAACAGCCACGGCACACAATCGGGTCCATCCGCACCCGTCGCCACGCCGCCCTCAACGACCCAAAAGTCAAACGCCCAAAAACCGTTGCTGAAATCACACACCCGCAACAAAGCACGCGACGCAACATCGTCTCACGTGGACCCCGCCGTCAGAAGAACGTCATGCCAACCGTTTGGACGGCACACGGTACAATCAATCAACAGAACAGAGAAGTAAGACAGGCACTCAATCAAGGACTCTCCACGCACACAGCCCTTTTGATGCCGCCGCTGCTGCCACGGGCACGGTACCCGAGCGGAAAATGACACGCAGTAAAAAGGCCTCGCAAGAGAAAAACAATCCACACGTCCATATGCAAAGCGCCACTCAGGCTGCTGCGGCTGCAGGGTCTGTGGGAAAAATGCGCCTTACTGAATCCCGCCAGTTATGTCAGTCTCCCCTCCCACCAATGTAGCGCATAATCCACGGCGTGCGTCCACAGGCATCCACTCCCGGTGCCCTAGCAACACTTCAGAACACACATAATGGAGAAGCGAAGCATCATTACACAATGCCAAAGCAGGCAAATAAAAATAGGGAAATCAAAACCTCACAGATCCCTCGCACACGCACACAAACACCCCACAGTATCCTTCAGAAGAAGTCAAACAATTTCTTATCCCAACCCATAATGCACGCGTGGTGCCGCCACATTAGCAACCAACACAAAAGAGGGAGAGTGCATACAGCATGTCCTTGGTAAAAAATATACAGACAAGCAGAGTGTATGTATATACTGACAGGGACATGCCAGTTGATATAGGCCTTTCTCTCTTGCACCCACTGCTGAGTGTTGGCACCGCGGCGGCAGCGGCAAGCAGAAGAATCAGCGGAAAGGGACAAGCAGCAGCCGCAGTGTTACTGCCGTGGATCGGAGGCGGGGCGTCCTTCATGTCTGCCTCCCAACCCCGCGCACCACCGCCGCATCATCCTCCCTCGGCGGAGGGTCCACGGCGCCCTGCGCGTCATCAGCGGCATCAGGGTCCTTGGGTCCCGTGGTTGTGGCACCGCCACCGGCCTTGTCGCTGACGGCCTCATCTCCTAATGATTGTCCGACAACAGACGCCACACCATCGGCGGCCACATAGTCGATGTCCGGAAGATCGCTTTCCCTCTCCGCCTCCTGCGGCGCACCCGGGGTGTCGCTGGGCAAGAGCACACCGTTGCCGTCGTGGCACATGAGGCGACTTCCTTCTCCTCTGGCGACGGATGCTTCTGGGGAGCAGCCGTGTCCACATACTTCGGTGGTGTGCCACGGCCGGTCTCAATGCTTTCTGGATCGGGGACGGATGCCCGTAGCAAAGCTTGTTCAGTAGATGCCAGTGAAACCGTCCTGCTCCACACCCTCTCACATCGCCACCCCACGGAACCACTGGAAGTATCCTGCCGCTGGTGGCGGATATCGTGCACACCTGCGCGTGGTCACGGAAAATAGCTTTTCCCTCGTCGTAGGGCGGAGCAACCCACGTAATCGTCGTCTCGTCAGTGCATGGGGCACAGCGGGCGTTACCCTCTTCAGTCACTCTCAGACGCACACGCATGCCGAGGCACCGCAATGCCGCATGCATGACAACACCGAGATGTATGTTTCTTCCGGGTCCCTCGCATCCGTCGTGTTGGTGGGAAGCGTGTCCAGACACCACGAAGAGGCCTTGTCCCCAGGCATCGCGGACAAATGTTCTCCCCTCCAAATAACAGCGGCGGCATTTATCACATCCAGTGCGGGACCAGTGATGGGGCAACGGTCCATCGGGCGTTTTGCTGACCCTTCATGGATAATTCGTCTACACACCAACCACTGGAAAACCGATCCAACGTGCAGCGTCTGGCAGGAACTCCCGCTTTTCAGAACATCTGGGGATATTCACTCATGTTCGGTGCGGAGCACTTCCTCTGCAGCAGCGCACAGCACGAATTCCTTCACCAGCGCATCGGCTCCGCCATCTCCCACCTCACGCTCATGCAGCCCAGGTCAGCCGGTGCGGCCAGCGTCAACTCCGTGCGGCAGACGGCACAACCAATCGGTGCCATCCACTCATCCTTCGCGTGGCGCTGCGACCAGTGCTACTCCAGCGTCCTCCCGTCCCCATCGCCATCCTGCAGCTCCATGCCATCAATGTCGTCGCGGTCGTGGTGCTCCTCGCAGCCATCACGGCAGTCGTCGAGTGCACCACTTCCTACAGCGCTCTGCCACGCACAGCACCATGTCAGCATTGGCAACACCAGTGGAACAATGCCCAGCACGCACCGTAAACCGAAGGCAAACGCTGCCCGTGGCAAATGGGGGCATAATCAAAGGACCCTCCAGTGGCTGCACGAGCAGAAGATCCGCATGCGTTTTGAAAGCAGCAGGAACAACTTCATCCTCAAGAATGATCCCGTGCGCAGAGGATACAACGTCACCTTCACACTCGCAATTGCCATTCGATGAATTCATTGCGTAGTACCTCTCTGAGATCCAATGCTTCCCGGTATCATCCAGGTCCCTTGTGGATACGTTGATGCGGATGGGCATCCATCCCTCCCAATGACGGTCTATGGCTGCAGCGCACTCACTGCTCAAAAAGGGCACGTCCCTCACAACAACTCGGACCCAATTCGTGCTGTCGGCACGCATAACATATTCAACAAATCGAGGGTACGTCAAAGTGACAGCAAAGCACCCGCTGGCAATCACACCATAAGCACCATCAAATGCAGCAGCACCAGCGTCTCAAACTAATGTGGGGTGTAGAGCAAGTAGGCCATTGATGTGGGTGTTAGGCAAATATTTATTGACTCGCTGAAGCAACAAGGACCGATTGCGTGGGAAGAAACAAACAACAGGAGAATACAAAAGGGAGAATTCAGCCATCCGCAGTTCAAGAAGAAAACCAATCAATGAAAGTAAAATGGGTGCACCCAACCAAAACATACGCAAAGATTCAAAACAAAAGAGAAACAAAAAGCCGAAGCGTGGGACGACCAGCACAAACTCTCATTACTCCCGTAAAGCAAAACACACACACAGAGGGAGAGAGAGAGAGGTCGCCCACTCAATGCAATAAAAACAAAACAGAAACAGTTACGGTGCTCCGCCCATGCAGCCAGGCAGGACGCCAGCGGTGCGTGTCGTGCAAAAGAGAGCACCAACGGCCTGCATGGGTGTGCATGCATATATACAATGGGCACATTATTGTGTGTGCGTCGTGGGGTGAGGTGAGGGCGAGAGTCCATGCAAGGGGACACACAGAGAGAGGAGGACGAGTGTGTGTGCGGGCGGTGCACGGCTCTCTCACACTCACTCTCACGCGGCCACCACCGCAGCAGCAGCCGCACACGCAACAACAAGAAGAAGCAAAAGAGGGGATTTGGTGTGGGAGACCGCGGTGCTGCTGTCACTGTCGCCAGTCGTCGCCGTTGTGGTTTTCATGGCTGTGGCTTCGACTGTTGTTTCCTTCGGATTGGCTTCTTTATTTTCATTTTTTTTTTCTTCTTGTGTCCCTGCACCATCAGCTGCTTGATCTTTGTCGCTAGTTGTTTGAGTGCTTTGGGGTTGTGTTTTATTCGATGCTTTCACTGTACCGGAAGGTGAAATTGGCTCCTCCTGACCGATCGCTGACTTCCCCTCTGTGGTGCTTGTATCATCTTCTTCCTTTTCCTTTTTCTCCTCTCCTCCATCGTCCTCCTCTCCCTCCTCCTTGTCCTCATCCTTCCCTTCCTCTTCATCTTCATCTTCTTTTTTCGTTGTGTCCTTTTTTTCTATCGTTTCTTCTGCCGTTCCTGAAACTTGTGCTCCGGGTTTTGGTGCCGATTCCGCTTCCGTTCCCGGTACTTTTTGCACCGATCCTGCTGCTGGTTGTGTAACTGCCTTTTGACCAGTTTGGCCATCTCCTCCAACGCCATCAGTTGTGTTGCTTTTACTTTCAGGATTATTGCCGTTACCGGTCACACCAGTACCCGGAACGACTGGAGCTGTTTCAGAGCATCCACCACCGCCGGCACCGCACCACAGCACGCAGAGGGCACACACCAGCAGCATACGGCCAGTCATCATCATCGCCATCACTCCTGTCACTTGCGTGTAGCTTTAAGCACAAACTAACAACACGTCAGCGCAGAGTGAAAGCAAAAAGGAGAGACACATCAAAAAGCCACGCACCGTGAGAAATGATAGCAGCTTGCACACACCATGAGGCAGTTGAAAACAGTAAAGAGGGGGGAAACACACACCGCACCGCAAGGCAGAAATTTAAAAAAAGGAAAAGCTGGGCTAAGAGTCCGGCAAGACTCCCGGAAAGAATGAATAAAATTGATTAGGTCGTAATTTTATTTCATGTGACATGCAGCACAATATAGACGACCGTGTGTTTGTGTATACATCTTTCCCGCAAAAATAGCAGAAAATAATGAGAAAAAAAGAGAACTTGCTGTTCCACCAGCCCACACAACATCCCTCACACTTCATTGCGGCATCCGGCGTGTTCCTTCAGTCCTCGTACGTGCAGTCCGTGGGACACACAGCAATGGGGCCGACACCGCGTGTGGGCAAAAAAGAAAACAAAATGGAACACTTCGCTCATAATGGTGTGTAGAGCAGTTAAATAGCCATTGGGAAAGCACAAAGATAATTATTATTCCAATAAATGACAAGCAGCAATAAAGAAAGAAAACAAGCAAAAAAACTTAAAATGAGGTCCTTGACAACATTCGGTAAGCCCCAGCGATGAAGTCGCACCTTGTCGCGGTGCTGTGGCTCTGGCTGCATATAAGAACTCCGCAGCAGGGCGTTGCGGCGAGCACGACGGAGACCAAGACGACTCCACCCCTCGAGAAGGTTCCACGCCATGCCCGGTGCGGGGAGTTGAAGCGGTCTGCCTGCAGGCTGTCGGACAAAACTGCACGACCGTTTCGCAGCGGTCACTCCGTTGATGTCACCTGTGGCGGTGACGTTCACAAGAACCCTGGCACCGAGGAGGATGGCTGCATCACTGTTTGGCGGCTTAGCATTGCAGGCCTCTCGTCCGTAAAAAGATTGCATTTGCGGCGCGATTGGAGCAGCGTCCACCTGACACCGTTCTTCTGCAGGAAATAAGTAACCGTGGTGGCGTGGCGACGAAATTATGTGGCCATAATGACTACCTTCGGGCCTCACTGGGCGCGGTGATGGCGTTGCCATTCTGGTGCGCCACTCTCTACCGTGCGAGCGCCTGTCGCTCCCTGGCACTGACCTCCTGGAGACCATTGCTGTCCGTGTATTTTCTCCGGGCTGTCCCAGCATTTGCGTGGCGAATCTCTACAACCCTCCCACAACAATTGGTCAATAATCCGCATTTATCAATATCGTTTGTCGCTTGGGCCCGAAGCGATTATCGTGTGTGGCCTGAATTTGCATCATGAGCTCTGGGACAGTCATATATACCACCAACGACTGGAGGCGATAATTTCGCCGCTGTTCTAATCGATATGGATTTTGAGTCGGCAAATGACACGGCGCAGACAACACGGATCACACGTCGTAATGTCTCTTCCCCTGGCGTGACTGCGTATTGCGCCCTACGCATCTCCCACTGGACATTCGCCCCTTACATGGACTCGGACCACTGCTGAATATCTTACTTGGTAGAGATGGACGATGGCACTCCACGACTAGCCAACACACTTCCTCGGCGGAAGAAAGCCACTTTTGCCCTGCGTAAAGCGGATTGGCCTGCTTTTACATCGTTGTGTGAAACACTCCTTGCCACCGCGTCCACATGGTTGGATTCTCGCGGAGGCATCTTACGAGCAGCTGAGCGCCACATCCCGCGCGGCAGCCGTGACAGCTCCAAAAAGATATGGACACACGAAATGGAACAGGCCGAGTCCGCCGCAGAAGCAGCAAACAAGGCACACATTGCCTTTCCTGGAAAAGTGCTATATTTTACCGAATGTACCCGAAAAAAGGGAGGAACGAAATCAAGCCTTACGCCGTTGCTTCGCTATGCTTCTGGAAGCCCGTGTGGAAAAACTTGGAGCCTCACCCAGCCCGAGCTGGCGAGATCTTCGCGGCGTGGCGGCGCCGCACCCTCATCCTTTGGAATCGGTTGTGCTCCGCACTGAACTTGGCCGCGTATGCGCTCTGCCTCGGCAACAGGCAAATCTGCTCGCCCTTCATTTTGTGCGTGCCTCACGTGCCACGTTACCTTATACTGCTGCCGCTGCTGCTGCTGCACTCCATTGGTTCCTGGTGGTTGGGAAATGGATCGGCCTCTCATGCCGTATGAACTTGACGTGGCCATCCGTGACTCTTTGCTTGGCTCAGTCCCTGGCCCCGACGACATGTTGAATGAATTCCTTCACCGTCTCGAGCCCGTTGCGCGCGGCACTCTTAGAACGATGATCCACAACTCCTTCGCAAATGGAAGCCTGCCTGGCTCCTGGAATACGGTGGACAATATTCGCATTTCCAAACCTGTGAAGGATCCATGCCGCCCAGAGAGTTCCAGACCTATCAAATCACTCTCTGTGTTACTAAAGTTAACCGAAGGAATGATTCACCGCCGTCTGTCAGCGTTATTGCCGCACCACCCACGTCAATTCGGATTTGCACCTCCGCGTTCTGCATCGGACGTGGCGACACTTGCCATCGGTAAAATTACCCGTGGACTGAATGAGTTCAGCACTGTGGAGTATGCGCGCCCTGGAGGCGACGCCCCCGCACGGCACCCTCGTCGCCATCGCTCGTTCGTAGTCTCGACTGACATTTCGACTGTGTTCGACACCACTGACCATGAGAAGCTATTCGGCATGCTTGACAGACTTCCGCGCCTTGGCCTCGAACCAAACGCTGGCCACACAACTACCTGCGGGGCCGCCATGTTAGGGTATGCACTCGCGAACAGCACTCCCGGAAACAACTCGCCTCAGCCGTGGCACCGCAAGGCAGCGTCCCTGGACACAAACTCTTCCTCCACTGTGTGGATGATGTGCTGCACCGCATGGACAGCATCTATTCTGCCTCCGCATTCATTTACGCTGATGCCCTCACACTTGTTGCCTCAGGTGCGGAAATCCATGCATTTGCTGCGGCAATGCAACCTGCCCTGTCACTTACAACAGCATGGGCTGCCGAGCAAAACCTCAAAATCAACGTCGCTAAGAACGAAGCTGCTCTATTCTACATCTCTTCACACACACTGTCTGGCGAGGACACGGTCGATCTCCATCTTGTTAGCGGGAACCTGCGTATTCAGTCACGCCCAGTGCGCTTGCTGGACACAACGATTAATCGCCTTCTTAATTTTGGCACGCACGCCTCCACCGCTGCAAAGCAGACCATGCTACGCCGCCATCAGCCGCGTCTGGTCGCACGGGCTGGTGCGTCCCATCACACCATGCGATCCTTTTTGATTGTATACGTTCATATTGTGTCACTGTATTATGGCGAGGCAATTGTCCCATGCCTTTCCCCCCACCTACCTCCATAATATGGAAGTACGGTATCGCGACGGTAGCAAAACATAACTTGGCATTAGCGCACCAAAGGAAGATACGTCCGTCTAATTGAAAGCCAATATTCTTCCGCTCCGGAAGATACTCTGGCTCCGTGACACCAATCAACACGAACGCCATGCACGCCTCCATGATCACGAGGATTTGCGTTCCCTTATCTACTCGGAACCTGTGCCGCTGTCCATGCATGGGAAAGCGGCGACATCAATCCCACTTCCGAGAGATGCTGTTGGTAATGGATTGCGCCGCGTATGTAATATTATTGGGATACCCCACAACCACAATCGTGCCCCTCCTATTCAACATCGTATTTTCCCCTGGGACACTGTGCGTTGCAATAAAGTGGAATTTAATCAGCCACGCTTTGCCCAAGACGCCTCTGACGATGTCAAGCGCACGGCTCTTGATTCTATTTACTCCTATCTGGGAGCGTATGATTTTGAATTATGGACAGACGTTTCTTCCTCTCTCGCTGAGCTTGCATCTGGATCCGCTGCACTATTGTATGGCTCCACCACGACAAATGATCTCCCTGTGGAGGTCCATCGTGCAGCAGCTGGCAGGCTCGCATACTCATATAGAGCAGAGTGCCTTGCCACTGAAAATGGCATTATACATCTCATACCTTTTTTCTGGGAACATCCCAATCGCCCACACGAATCCTGGTGGCAATTGACTCCCCGTCGGCAATTGAGGCACTCCGCGTCGTCCCACCGGCCGTGCGAGACTACGTTACTGAAGAGATTTGGATTATGCTGCTCTCCTTGATACAGCGAGGTCACTATGTAGATGTCATGTTCTCTCCATCGCACTGCGGTATCCCACGCAATGAGGCCGCTGACGACGAGGCCATGATTGCACGATCCCTCCCGCAGGACTGCGCCAATGCCTGGCACGTGGACTTTTTTACTGCAGTCAGGTGACCGTACTGGAGGGATGCCCAGAAGAAAAGAAGGGCGCGTGCACCGCATGAGAGGCGCCTGTCGGTGTGGCAGGGACTCTATTCCTGGCACGGCCCGGAAATCGTGCCCCGAGTGGCGGCTCTGCGCACAGGCGCGATGCGACTCCTGCCCGCTCTTTGACAGTCCTGCGCATGCCCTTCGTATCAAAAGTAACCCTCCGTGTTGGTGGTGCTGTCCCGCCCTCACTGAGGAGAATGGCCCGCCTCTGCCTCCGCCAGAACCTCTTCCCGACGTGAGCACCGCAACTCCTTGCCGACCAGCGAGCGGCGGATTGACGTTCTCCTGCCCAACCTGCAGCAGAGTACGCTCGTCCGTCCACAATATGAGGGCGCATGCCCGAAGAGCTCCGCCTGGCGTTATAATAGTTTGAGAAGGCCTAGGATGCGGATGCCACAATGGTGCCAGCGTCTTCTTAACGGGCGCCTCGCGCACAGGTCGCCACAGAAAGTGCCAAGCACACCAGCAGGCAAGACACGCAGGAAGCACAAATGCGGGTACTCGAGATGGACCACGAGAGAATTCGCTTCATCCACTGCAGAAATGCCCCCGTCGTTGGGAATTTGGAATGCGAGTGCTTGGGAGTGCCCCAGCCCGCACGACGGCACGTTTCGGACGGAATACTTGCCACTTTTGTACGGACGGCCCTTGCGCTACTCACTCGTTATTGTAACAGCATACAGCAAAAATAGGATGAAATGTTGCTCTTGTAATAAATATTGGCTGCACTTCCCGTGGACCAACAATCCACGTGGTGTGCGGGGATCTCCTTCTTTTTATTGTTACTTTGCCTTTGTGTTGCTGTGTGCGCTGCACCTTCTCTTGTGTGTGTGCGTATCCTCCGTGAGGGATGCAGACACGACGGACCGCTCTCGCCGTGTGTACATGCGGTGGAGCCTTGTGTGCCGCTCCTGTTTGCTTCTCCCTTTTCCATCTGTGCGTTGGTGTTGCGGCAGGGCTGTGTGTTTTTGTGCCTGCTGCCGTGGATTGGAGTGTGTGTCGTGCGTGGTGTGCGGCGTACGGTGCATGCCTGGCTGCTGCCCTCTCCTCATGTGGTGTGCCCTCTGCGTGTGTGTCTGCCGCACCTCTCGTCTCCCCTGTTGCTCTCCATTTCCTCACTGTGCAGATCAGCTCCACGCCACTGAACGACCACACTCACGATGACGACGTGCCATCTGCTGTGCGCCCTGTTGGTGCTTGCCCTGTGCTGCTGCCCGTCCGTGTGTGCGGCAGATGTCAATAGGAAGGCTGGCTCTTCTTCCCCGACGACCACAACGACGAATAAAATAGAGCCGCCAAAGGAAGACAAGGAGGATACGTCTGAAACGCAAAAAAATGCCAAAAATCCATCGCCCCCTGTGTTAGTAGGAGCGCCAGGGAAGGATCAGTCGGGGTTGCCAAATAAGGAGTCCGTTGGGAAACCGGTAACAAATGCGGAAAGTGGAAATGTTGACGGAGAAGGACAAAGTTTGGCTGTTACGGGACAAAAATTAAATAACATGAGCAGTACGTCACAGGCAGAAGATAATAAAGGCACGATAGGTTTACAAGGTGACAAGAATATATCCGCAGACACTCAGACTAAGTCTGAAGCTCCCGCCGAGACGACTACGACAACGACCACAACACAGGCACCAACCACGACGACAACCAGTGCGCCAGTGGCACCAAGTACTGCGAATACAGAGGCGCCAACCACAACGACCACCCGCGCACCGTCACGTCTTCGTGAAGTTGACGGCAGCCTCAGCAGCTCTGCGTGGGTGTGTGCCCCGCTGCTGCTTGCCTTATCCGCGCTGGTGTATACCGCTGTGAACTAAAGAGGTGTGTGCGGGCTGTGCGTGCCAGCACTCAGTCACGGGGATTTGTGTGCATCTACTGTGGTCCGATGTATAAAGTAAGAGTAATTATGATGATCGTTTTGCTTTGTTTGTTTCCCCTGCCCTGCTGTGTGCTCCGCGTTGTTCGTTACTTCCGTCACGTTGAACGCATCCCACACTCGTATGCATTCGCAGCGGAGCCGTACGTGGACACACATTTGAGGATAGGTGCATGCGCACTGGAGTCTTGGGTTTTTTTTACTTTTTTAATTTTTTGCTTGGTTCCTAAGCTTTTGTTCTGCATGACATTATGCGAGTTTTGCAATTGTGCTTATTCTATCTGTCTTTTGTGGTTTGTTTTCTGCTTCTGCTGTTGCTGCCATTTGTAACTGTGCGGTGGCTGTGCGTTGTGTAGCGGGCGTGTCTCTCCTTTTGCTTTCATATGCTTTTGCAGATTGGCTCCACAGCGTTAGGCGTCTCCACTGTTTGTGATGATGTCGTGTCGTGTGCTCTGCGTCCTGTTGGTGCTTTCACTGATGTGCTGCTTCTTGTGCGTGTGTGCGACAGCTGCTGTGACGGAGGTGCGTGTGCTGCCTGCCGGTGATGGCCCGGTGACTGCTGTGCACATGTGGGCAGTGATGGCTGCGGAAACTGGCCACTTGGCCGATGGCTCTGAACGAAAGGCGAATGTGAACTCCGAGAGCAATAACACTCAGGAAGACGAGGAAAACGAGGAAAACGAGGAGGATAGAAGAAACACAGCGGGTGATGGTCCTACGCCCACGCCCTTTGTTCCGCCCACTGCTCCGACGGGGCAGGATCAATCCAGCACCGATCCACTGCGAAGTATCACTTCCGATCCTTCTGACGCTGGCAACGCGTCCGATTCCCACACCCATGCAAGTGAACAGGAGTCTTTGGGCGGAGGGACCGCTGCAGGCAAAATATCCTCACTCCCCAACTCATCTCAGCAGGCAGCAGATGGAGTGCATGCTGGAAGTGGGAGTTCCTCCCAGGGAATTCAGGCTCCAGGACAAACCGTCACGGGAAAGCCACAGGTGTCAGAGACGGCAAAGGCAGCACCGCAAGGCGATGGAGGAGGAGGACCCGGAGCGCAACACGAAGCCGACCACACCACAAAAGATGCCGGTGGTAACGCCCTGGGAAAAAGCGGCAGTGAAAAGGGAGAGCCACCAGCGGGATCGCAAACTGCACCACGATCCAGCAGTGGCGGGAGTGCTAATGTCGCACCGAATCCCGCTGTCTCCATTCCACTGCCCCCAGAGCCAAAGTCAAAAAGTGAGGCAACCGGTACGGGAGAATCTCCACATCCGACCGATAATACACAGACACAAAGTATGAGGACCGATACTGCACCAAGCACGGCACAGACTCAAAATTCGCCGAACGGTAAACCACAGGAACCAGAAGCAGAAATCACTACAACAGAAGCACCAAGTGCTACGGCCAGGAATGCAGAGGCGCCAACCACGACGACCACCCGCGCACCGTCACGTCTTCGCGAAATCGACGGCAGCCTCAGCAGCTCTGCGTGGGTGTTTGCCCCGCTGCTGCTTGCCGTATCCGCGCTGGCGTGTACCACTGTGGGCTGAAGAGGTGTGTGCGGGCTGTGCGTGCCAGCACTCAATCACGGGGGTTTGTGCGCTTTTTTGCTTTATAGTGTAATATGTAATAGAAACAAATGATCTACTTTTGCTTCATTTGCTTTTGCTGCCCTGATGTGTGCTCCGTGTTGCCGTTTCCTGTATCCACCACGTTGAACGCATCCCGAACACACTCACACCACGGAGACAACTGTTTGTGTGGACGCATGTTTTTCTGCTTGTGCATGCACACTGTAGGCTTTTGGTGAAGTTTTTTTTGTGTGTTTTTAATTTTTTTTTACTTTTCTTCTTTTTGCTGTTTTGTTATTAATTATTTTACGTGTTTTTTTTTTCCATGTTTACTTGCTGCGGGGCCTTCTTTGTTTTCTTTCATTTTCTCAAGGTTTAATTTTCTTTGTTTTTCCTGCTCTTTTCCTTTTTTGTCTTGCTCCCCCGCCATCCTTCTCTTTTTTGCCTTCGGGGGCAATCACTATGGACGTTTTTTGTTTTCTACTCTTCCCTCTTTAATTGTTTGTTGCTGCACTCTTCCTGTGAGGGGTGCCGTGTGTTCCCGCCCAACTGCTCCACTCGCACACCCACCGACACGCTCATGACGACGGCCCTGTGCGCCTCGCCTGCTGCACGCATGAGGAGGGGCCGCGACGAACGGCGCGCTGAGGGAGCCGTGACGTGTGGGCGTGCGACGAGGGCCTGTGGGGCGGAGCACACATTTCTTTCCTTTTGTTTTATTGCGGCCAGGGCTGGCAGACACCCGCAGCGCCACACACACAGCCACACCCTGCCGCCGTGTTTTTCTTTAAGGATTTGTTTTGCTTTGCGTGTTTATTTCATGCGGTGGCGCACCCTTCGGTGTCGGCCTCGTGAGCATTTCTCTCCCCTCCGATGATTTCTTTTTCTTTTGCTGCGCTCACTCTCCCGATGGAGTGACGCGACTGCCGTCATGTCTGCGTGCTTCTCTCAGTCCCCACACACACGAGTGACTGTGCTCTGCGGGCCGCACTCACGCGCCGATGAGAGGGCTGCGGGGAGCAGCAACACGCAGATGACCCCATGAAATATAAACGATGTGCGGACACATGGAGGGTCAGACGGTCGAAGCACACGCAACCATCCTTTTAATTTTCTTTTGTGGGCAAAATACATGCAGACAGTTTGGTGTGGCCACACGGCAGCCAGGCGATTTTTTTATTATTTTAAATTTGTGTGGAGCAGTAATGGACGATTTCTTTTTCATTTATAATTATTTTCTGTGATGGGCTTTACATAAGACGAAGGGGACGTCTTTGTTTTCAATAAATATTGTGTGAATTGCCGCTGCTTGGGCTGCAGTGCAGTCATGAGTTTGAGCGGTCTTCTTGTTGTTGTTGTTTCCGTTATGCGTCCCCGCTGTACATTTTAGTTTGTGCGTCTCTCCACATACTCTGCTCCCTCTTTTCCACTTCTTTGCTTTGTGTTTCTGCAGGCACACACAACCACACACACAAGGTGCACATTGCAGTGGATTTGAGTGCACCTTTTGTGGTGCATGCTGGCAGTTGCGTGTGGCGGCTGTTGTCTTCTTCCGTGGCCATGAGGAGGAGGGGAGAGAGAGCGCACCCCGAGACTATTTTCCTGCGGGTGTGGTGCACCGCGTGTGACTGCGCTGAGTTGGGCTCCGTGTCCCATTGATGGCGGGATGGCAGGAAGTTTTGTGCCGCGTGATGGATGGATGAGGGTTCGCTTGCTCCGTGTGCGTTGTGTGGTGGCCGCGGGGTTTTGGCCATTTCCCTGGGGCTGCGGGAATGAGCTGGGGGAGATGGTGGTGGATGTCTGCTCCTCCTGCATGGTGGGTGGCTGCTGGCGTTGTGTGCCCTCCTTGCGTGGATGCCGTCTCGTGGTGTGTGGATTGTGCGGCTGGTCCTGCTGCCCTCTCCTCATGTTGTCTGCGCTCTCTCGCTGTATCCGCTGTGCTCCGTCCCTCTCCCTCTCGTTCCATTCCTTTTTGTTCGGCTTACCGATCAGCTGACTGACACCAGCGACTCCACTACGGGCGATGATGACTGCGATGGTGACGGTGCGGCTCCGTGTTGGTCCTTGCGTTCTTGTGCTGCTGCTGCTCGTCCGTGTGCGGCTGCTGGGAGTCCTGGACATGTATCTGGTGATGCGGATGCGGTGATAGTGCCGGTGGATGTGTCGTGTGCTCCGAGTGACGGCATCCTGAGCTATCGCGTGCGTGGGGGGGGGGGGGGGGGGGCATGGAAGTAGTGTTCTGCTGCCGGTGCTGAGGCTCAGTGTGAGAATTATACTTTCAGTGGCTTTGATGTGCGCATGCATGGCAGGAATGGTGAGCTGGGTGCTGTGTGCCATGTGGCCAATGCGGTGTACACATGTAGCAACTGTGCTGCCAGCTGTGCAACGGAAGAGGAAGGGGTCACCGTTGCCTTCACGATGAATGTGACGACACATTAATACGCCGGCCCTTATGAATTATGGCGGCGTCTATTTTCCCCCGATGGAACCATCCATCCGCCTGCACGGAGCGGCGATGCTGACCGGACGGGCATCTGTCAGTTGCCGCCACCCCGTGAAGGGAAGGATGACACAAAATCTGGTGGGACAACTGCGCCGCTATTTAATGCTGAGCCGTCACGTCAGAACGAGGATTGGCGACAGTCTGCGGCGGCTGACGGACCTAACACCGTCGATCGGAGTCCCGCATCCAACACGGCGACCAACACGTCCGTGACGAGGCCTGAGTTTGCCTTTGTTCGGAACACAAAAGTGGCTCCGGCACCTCCCGGAAGAAGGCCCACGCCTGTCACCGAGCCGCAGGGGGATCCTGTTGATGATGCGATGAGTGGTTTAATAAACGTTGAGTTACTGCAGGGAGTCGATCTATTTGTGCCGCAGACGACGCTGGTGTAGTCGAAGGGTGGGACTGTTCCAGTTACGACGAGGGATTCATTTGCTTCACCCTCTCTCGTCAGTACTGGTGGAGTAATTGGTGGTTTCGCCGAGGGTCACATGGATGCCGAATATCAATGTGGTCAATTAAGTAAGCCCTTTTCTTCTGCTTTTGTTGCGGGGTACATTGACTCTGCGTGGAATTGGTCCACTGTTGTTGGTGAGGTCAATGAAAGGATACATGGAGGGCACACACTGTGCTTGGTGCAGCGGAGGGAGAGGAGAGTTTGGGTGTTGTGCTCCGCCGCACAACAATCACGAAGGGCCACGGAGTTTTTCCTCCTGCGGGAGGCTCTGATGTGTCCTACGAAGGTGGGTGCTGGAGAGAGGACGGCTTGGAGCCGAAGCTGGTTGTGGGTGATGTCACGAATCCCACGGGTGGCAAGCGGAGTGGACGGATCGAATGGGGCGACCCCAAACCACTCCCGAAACGGATCTCTTCTGCTTCTCACGAAGGTGACTGGACGGAGTTCATTGCTTCCGGTGGCGCAGGTGTTGTGATGGAGGATGACACGCTTGTGTTTCCTCTGATGGCGAAGAATGAAGCAGAAGACGTTTGCTCCATGATCATTTGCTCGACGGACAACGGCAGTGCCTGGGCGTTCTCTGAGGGCATTTCCCCTGCGGAATGCCTTAACCCCGCGTCACCGAGTGGGAGGGATCACTTCACATGGTTGTTGACTGCGAGAATGGCCAGAGGGTGTACGGGTCGCGTGACATGAGACAGCGTGGACGGAGGCACTCGGGACACTCTCAGCCGTGTGGACCAAGTAAAAATCGATCGGGAGTCTCTCAGAAGGAAAGCCTGCGTGTGTATGCCCTCATCACCGCGACCATTGAGGAAGGAGGGTCATGCTGTGCACTCAGAGAGGGCATGCCTCGGGGGAAGAAAAGGGCCACTGCGCTCTGCCTTTGGGTCACGGACAGCAACCGCACGTTTTTTGTTGGACCGGTTGCCGTGGACAATGCTGCGAGGTGGAAGACAGAACTGAAGGACTGCGGTATGTAATTTTATTTGCCTTGTCCCTCTTGTTGCTGCCGTGTGTGTGCGGGTGAGTGAATGGAAGGTGTGGAGATGTGCGAGGGTGGCCGTTGTTTCCGCACATTTGGTCTTCCACTCAAAGATGAAACATCTCGTCAGCCTCTTGCAGCACCAGGCCGTGGACTGAGAGGATGTGAGGTGTGCTCCAACAAGAAGGACAACGAGATGCAGTGCGTGACGGTGAGGCTGATCGGCCGTGTGGTTGTAGTGCATGGGGCACGTGCGCCAGTACTTTTTGTGAGTTGTGCTCATGATTGGGGAGCAGAGTGGCGGCACGACATTGTGGCGCTGTGTGTGTTGTGCGCGGCCGTGGCATGCCGGCGATTGTGAGGGACGTGGCGGACACGGAGCTGCTTGACTGGGGGAGGGGGTGGCGGACGTTGCGGCGCGGTGGGAGCGCATGGCGGCTGCGTGTGCTGGGAGGGTCCGACGATCCCGAGGCCTGTGCTGGAGGGGCGCGTGTTGAATTGAGCGTGGCGTGCCTGTGAGGGACTGCGGAGAGGGAATAACAGTAATACTGACATTGTGGGTGTGAGGAACGGTGCACGGCGAGGATTAATTCTTTTGTTTTTCGCTTTTGAACCGCGTCCACCCAATTGTTGTTGTGGTGCGTGACTCTCATTGCTGGATGGGACGGTGCGTGTTACTGTGTGTGACTTGTCTCTCCTTTTGCCTTCACTCTGCGATGACGTGTTTTTATTTTGTGCTGAAGGCTGCAGGCGAGTGACAGGAGTGATGGCGATGATGACTGGCCGTGTGCTGCTGGTGTGTGCCCTCTGCGTGCTGTGGTGCGGTATTGATGGAGTTGCTGAGACCGAGGAACCTGGAATTGGAGTAGTGCCCGGTGTGGGTGAGTATTTGGTTGTGGAATGGCGCTCTCAGCTGCGGAGGGAATGCGCGGAGGAGGTCAGCAGGAGGACGGGAGGCCGTGCGAATGCGTCCGCCGTGGAGGACTGCGTGCATGAGGGAATGGAAAGTTTACATGCTGTTGTGGATGGCCGCAGTCGTTAGAGACGTCAGCGTCCTGCCGTTGCTGCTTCTGCTCCTGCTGAAGATAGTGGAGACAGGGAAGCCGGCACGGTGGAAGTTGACAGGACAAAGATTAAAGAGGCTTCGCCGTCCGAAGATGAAAATGAATTATTGGGGGATTCAGGAGAAGCATTAAACGGCAAAACAACAGAACTTCAAAAGGAGTTACTGCATTCTGAAACTGGTATCGTGCCGCCTCAAAAAGGAACTTCAGTTCCAGGAAATGGAGACGAGAAAAAGACAGAGAACCAAGAAGAAGGAGACGATGGAAAAACAAAGGCGGCAGAAGAAGACGAGACGGAAGAGGGAGAAGAAGATGAAGCTGAAAGTGCAGAAGAGGAAGAGGCTGCAGAAGACCACGAAGATGAAAAAAAGGAGAAGAAAGAGGTAGAAGACAACGAAGATAAAGAAAAAGAAGGTGAGAAAAACACAAAGAAGGAAGAAGACAAGTATGGGGTGGAAGAAGATGAAGAGGATGAAGAAAAGGATGATGACAACACCTCAGAGAGGATGCCGGCTGGCGGTCAAGAAAAAAGAAATTCAACTTCAGGTCCGGAAGGAGCACCGAATAAGACGAACACCGAAGGCACTCAAACGACTGGCGACAGTGACGGCAGCACCGCAGTCTCCCACACCACCTCCCCTCTCTTGCTTCTTCTTGTTGTTGCGTGTGCTGCTGCGGTGGTGGCCGCGTGAGAGTGAGGGAGAGAGAGCCGTGCACCGCCCGCACACACACTCGTCCTTCTCTCTCTGTGTGTGTCCCCTTGCATGGACTCTCGCCCTCACCTCACCCCACGAGGCACACACATAATGTGCCCATTGTATATATGCATGCACACCCATGCAGGCCCGTTGGTGCTCTCTTTTGCACGACACGCACCGCTGCCGTCCTGCCTGGCTGCATGGGCGGAGCACCGTAACTGTTTCTGTTTTGTTTTTATTGCATTGAGTGGGCGACCTCTCTCTCTCCCTCTGTGTGTGTGTTTTGCTTTACGGGAGCAATGAGAGTGTGTGCGCTGGTCGTCCCACGCTTCGGCTTTTTTTCTCTTTTGCTTGTGTTATGGTTGAGTGCACCCATTACTCTTAATTTCATTGATTGGTTTTCTTCTTGAACTGCGGATGGCTGAATTTTCCCTGTTGTATTCTCCTGTTCTTTGTTTCTTCCCACGCAATCGGTCCTTGTTGCTTCAGCGAGACACAAAATATTTGCCTAACACCCACATGAATGGCTTACTTGCTCTACACCCCACATTAGTTTGAGACGCTGGTGCTGCTGCATTTGATGTTTATGGTGTGGTTGCCAGCGGGTGCTTTGCTGTCACTTTGACGTACCCTCGATTTGTTGAATATGTTATGCGTGCCGACAGCACGAGTTGGATCCGCGTTGTTGTGATGGACGCACCCTTTTTGAGCAGTTGGTGCGCTGCAGCCATACACCGTCATTGGGATGGATGCCCATCCGCATCAAAGTATCCACAAGGGACCTGGATGATACCGGGAAGTATTGCATCTCTGAGAGGTACTACGCAATGAATTCATCGAATGGCAATTGCGAGTGTGAAGGTGACGTTGTATCCTCTGCGCACGGAATCATTCTCGAGGATGAAGTTGTTCCTGCTGCTTTCAAAACGCATGCGGATCGTCTGCTCGTGCAGCCACCGGAGGGTCCTTTGATTGTGCCCCCATTTGCCACGGGCAGCGTTTGCATTCGGTTTACGGTGCGTGCTGGGCATTGTTCCACTGGTGTTGCCAATGCTGACATGGTGCTGTGCGTGGCAGAGCGCTGTAGGAAGTGGTGCACTCGACGACTGCCGTGATGGCTGCGAGGAGCACCACGACCGCGACGACATTGATGGCATGGAGCTGCAGGATGGCGATGGGGACGGGAGGACGCTGGAGTCGCACTGGTCGCAGCGCCACGCGAAGGATGAGTGGATGGCACCGATTGGTTGTGCCGTCTGCCGCACGGAGCTGACGCTGGCCGCACCGGCTGAACTGGGCTGCATGGGGGTGAAGTGGGAGATGGCGGAGCCGATGCGCTGGTGAAGGAATTCGTGCTGTGCGCTGCTGCAGAGGAAGTGCTCCGCACTGAACATGAGTGAATATCCCAGATGTTCTGAAAAGCGGGAGTTCCTGCGAGACGCTGCACGTTGGATCGGTATTCCCGCGGTTGGTATTTGGGGAGTATCCATGAAGGGTCAGCAAAACGCCTGATGGACCGTTGCCCCGTCATTGGTCCCGCACTGGATGTGAGAAATGCTGCCGCTGTTATTTGGAGGGGAGAATATTTGTCTGCGGTGCCTGGGGACAAGCCCTCTTCGTGGTGTCTGGACACGCTTCCCACCAACACGACGGATGCGAGGGACCCGGAAGAAACATACATCTCGGTGTTGTCATGCATGCGGCATTGCGGTGCCTCGGCATGCGGGTGCGTCTGAGAGTGACTGAAGAGGGTAACGCCCGCTGTGCCCCATGCACGGCCGAGGCGACGATTACGTGAGTTGCTCCGCCCTACGACGAGGGAAAAGCTATTTTCCGTGACCACGCGCAGGTGTGCACGATATCCGCCACCAGCGGCAGGATACTTCCAGTGGTTCCGTGGGGTGGCGATGTGAGAGGGTGTGGAGCAGGACGGTTTCACTGGCATCTACTGAACAAGCTTTGCTACGGGCATCCGTCCCCGATCCAGAAAGCATTGAGACCGGCCGTGGCACACCACCGAAGTATGTGGACACGGCTGCTCCCCAGAAGCATCCGTCGCCAGAGGAGAAGGAAGTCGCCTCAGGTGCCACGACGGCAAAGGTGTGCGCTTGCCCAGCGACACCCCGGGTGCGCCGCAGGAGGCGGAGAGGGAAAGCGATCTTCCGGACATCGATGATGTGGCCGCCGATGGTGTGGCGTCTGTTGTCGGACAATCATTAGGAGATGAGGCCGCCAGCGACAAGGCCGGTGGCGGTGCCACAGCCACGGGACCCAGGAGCCCTGATGCCGCTGATGACGCGCAGGGCGCCGTGGACCCTCCGCCGAGGGAGGATGATGCGGCGGTGGTGCGCGGGGTTGGGAGGCAGACATGAAGGACGCCCCGCCTCCGATCCACGGCAGTAACACTGCGGCTGCTGCTTGTCCCTTTCCGCTGATTCTTCTGCTTGCCGCTGCCGCCGCGGTGCCAACACTGAGCAGTGGGTGCAAGAGAGAGAGGCCTATATCAACTGGCATGTCCCTGTCAGTATATACATGCACTCTGCTTGTCTGTATACTTTGTACCAGGGACGTGCTGTATGCACTCTCCCTCTTTTGTTGGTTGCTAATGTGGCGGCACCACGCGTGTATTATGGGTTGAGATAAGAAATTGTTTGACTTCTTCTGGAGGATACTGTGCTGTGTTTGTGTGCGTGTACGAGGGATCTGTGTGGTTTTGATTTCCCCATTTTTATTTAGCTGCTTTGGCATTGTGTAATGATACTTCCCTTCTCCATTATGTGTGTTTTGAAGCGTTGCTAGTGCACCGGGAGTGGATGCCTGTGGACGCACGCCGTGCATTATGCGCTACATTGGTGGGAGGGGAGACTGACATAACTGGCGGGATTCAGTAAGGCGCATTTTTGCCCACGGACCCTGCAGCTGCAGATGCCTGAGTGGCGCCTTGCATATGGACGTGTGGATTGTTTCTCGCTTGCGAGGCCTTTTCTACTGCGTGTCATTTTCCGCTCGGGTACCGTACCCGTGGCAGCAGCGGCGGCATCAAAAGGGCTGTGTGCGTGGAGAGTCCTTGATCGAGTGCCTGCCTTACTTCTCTCTGTTCTGTCGATTGATTGTACCGTGTGCCGGCCAAACGGTTGACATGACGTTCTTCTGACGGCGGGGTCCACGTGAGACGATGTTGCGTCGCGTGCTTTGTTGCGGTGTGTGATTTCCGCAACGGTTTTTGGGCGGTTGACTGTTGGGTCGTTGAGGGCGGCGTGGCGACGGGTGTGGATGGACCCGATTGTGTGCCGTGGCTGCT